AAGAAGAGAGGGGGCTGGAAATGGAGTTAATGATGGATCATGTTTACATGACCAAGATCCCATAAAAATTCCAGAAGTACAGGGTTTGGAGAGCTCCAGGTTAGTGAATACATGCATGTACCTGAAAGGTAATGCCACCCAAACTCCTGTTGGCTATTCATCTGTATCCTTTGTCATATCTTTTAATAAACTGGTAAACATAAAAATAAGTATTTTCCTAAGTTCTGTGAGCTGTTCTAGCAAATAACTGAACCCAAGAGGGAGGAGATCATGGGTACTTCTGATTTGTAGCCAAGTCGGACAGAAGTTGTAGGTAACCTGGGGACCTACTACTTTTAAGTGGCCTCTAAAGTGGGGCAATATCATGGGTCTGAGCTCCTAACTTTTGGGTCTGACACCATCTCCAAGTAGATAGTATCAGAATTGAATTAAATTGCAGGACAACCAGCTGGTATCACAGAGAATAGATTGGTGGGGGAAAAAAAATCCTCCTCCACATCTGGAGTCAGAGTGTTGTGAGTGTGGCAGTCATGTGAGAGTAAAAGGCAGACACACAGGAGGAAAAGTAGAGGTTTCCTACTCACACAGAAACATTGGAGCTAAGTTAAAACTTCTCAAATATTCCTTCTCAAGAGGAGGGTTTCCAAAGAGCATAGAAGACATGGGTAATCAGGGGTTGATCAACTCACACAGAGATATCTGACCTACCTACATTGCCCTGCCACTAAATTTATTCTTCATACCTAAAAAAATATTGTACCATTAACAGGAACACTTTCAACTCTGCAGATTGAGAAAATATAACTGAAAATAAATTTGGCTAGAAATAAAGGTCAAATGGGAGTTATGAGGAATATGTATGTGTACCCAGATGGTTGATTACATATTTGATGAGTTCAATAGCACATAGTAACACGCACATTTTAAATTATAGTTTCTTCTATTTTGAACTGACCTACAAAAAAGTCAACTTTGAAGTTGAAACTTCATTTTTGCTAATAACTTCTGGATTTTCCTGAAACCTTAGATTCAAGGACTTGAGAGCCATGAGCTCCAAGTCAGTGTTAGAGAAAGGACTCCTGACAGACGGCAAAGGCACACAGGGATGTAGCAGAAAGTCACTTTACCTTTCTCACTGCTCTTTTTTTCTGGATAGTCTCTGTCTTTGAGAGTATTGTAAAACTAGTTATTCAAATGGATATACTCCCAGAGACTCATGATGTAAAGACATTGGTGCAAAGCATAAGAACCTACACTCTTAGCTGTAGAGCTTCAAGTTACACTAAACAAAGTCTAATATTATAAATATATTCTAAAGATCCAATTTTCTCTCTCCCAAAATAGCAGCTTCCAAGAAGCTTTATTATTAGGACTTAGAGGAAATGCATTTTGGGGTGTAATGCAGTAGAGATTGTTTTTAAGGTTCAGAGTGTGAAGTGGGAAACTGTATCAAGTATAAACTCTGGTCATTTGCACGGCTTGCTTGATACTTCAAAGACACTCATTTTTACCACAATTACAATACTGGAAGCTCAATTACAGTGATTGTTCCACAATTCCTCTAGCCATGTCAGTCTTGATGTTGGACAGTGCATTCTGGCTGCCCTGGCCTAACACAGCCTTTGGTCAGGGCCATGGATGTGGCCACTGACTGGGCCGCTAGGGCAGTGTGATGGCGTGGGAAACACGGCTGCATGGGGACAGGCTGCCTGGCCATTAGCAAAACTGATCTTCCCTGTCTCATCTGGGATCTGGCCTGCAGTTTACAGAGTGCGCCTGCCAGTCTGGAGCAACGGATGAGAAGAGCAGATGGGGAAAGTGGAGTCAAATGTGTAGACAGCAGGAACAGAAGAGCTGGTCCCTGCAGTGCCTCCTACTCACTAGTGGTTTCTGAGACTCAGAACGAATTTCCCTTTCTTGAAGTTACCTGAGTAAGTTTCCACTCCTTGCATGCCAAATAGCATAATATAGACCTTAATTGTTTTTTAATTTTTATAGAATACACGCATTATAATCTGGAAGCTCCCATTCATGAGTGTATATGTTTGCAGGCTTGGAGAATGGCACTGTGGCTGGTTGAGTACATAAATGCATGTTTAGACTTTCACCTATAGTTGACAAGAGGACCCCTGGCCAGTCTTGACCAGTGTTCCCATTACTTTTCCTGCTCTGATTCTTTCTTCCCTGTAATCTTTCTCTTTTTAGATTGAGATATAATTCATATAATTTCACATAACATAAAGTTGAACATTTTGAAGTATACAATTCAGTATTTTTTAGTATATTCATAAGTTTGTTTAACCATCACTATTATCCAATTCCAGAACATTCTCATCATCCTCCAAAGAAACCCTGTGCTGTTAGTAGTCATTCTCATTTTCTCCCAGCTTCAAATGCCTGGCAACCTCTAATCTACTTCCTATCTCTATGGACATCTCTATCTCTATTCTGGACAATAATATTCACTATGTCATGTATCACATTTTGCTTCTTCATTCAGCATTTTATGAACACTGTTTGTTTTTTCACTTTTGGGCCATTAGGAATAATGCTGCTGTGAGCACTGGTGCATAAATCTTTGGGTGGATATAAGTTTTAAATTCTCTTGGGTATATATCCAGGAGTGGAGATGCTGGATACCTCTGTGTTTAAGCTTTTGAGGACCTGTGAGACTGCCCTTAGGTTATTTATCAGCAGTACAGCCATACAGAATTTCAGCATCACTGAGAAGCATCTCTTCCCCCAAATATTCCTGTGGTTTCTGCCATGAAACAAGTTACTTTAAGAGGGTTTAGAATTACTCCCTTCATAATAAGCATTATGCCTCAAAAATCAGTACTGTTGAGCAATGCATTTAAGTGCCACTCGGAGCTTTTCCCCACTCCTACACCCAAATCTAAACCAGCCTGGTTCTTGTGGACTGAGTGATTCATCCAGCTGTGGAATGAAAAGAAATGTATCTACTAAATGACATAAGAGTAACCACAGCAATATCTCCACAAATGTAAACTTAAGGGCATGGCCAATATGAAAAGGCAAGTGTTCAAGGAACTGTTAAGCATGTCAGGAAATGAGAAATTTTAAATACTTTTCTGGTTAAGAAAAATTTTAGTTAGCTAATAGTTTCTTTAGCATATGCAGTAGAAGCCCATTAAAACCTTTGGTGGTCACTTCAGGGAGCATGGAGCAGGTCTGTGCTGCACCCCTATGTTTTATTATGCTCTTTGGAGCTGAGGATATAGCTGCTGCTCATCAAATGCTCCCAGACTGGGGGTGAGGGTGGAGGTGTGGGGGTGTAGTCAGTTCTTGGTTGTGATCAGAAGGAGGTTAAATAAATCTTACTAGTACCATCAGCCCTCCCCCATCTCATCCCAGAGACCCTCTTCCCTCCTCTGGAGAACTCCCTCTCTCCACCCACTTATATATGATTTGAGGCCCTTCCTCCTGAAACTAACTTCTGAGGACTGAACTTCCTGGGTTCAGGACTCTCCTCTCTTTGAAATTGTTCCAGTGTGTTTAATCATTTCCAAGGCTTTGTATACCATCAGAGGGCTGATAACTTCCATACCTGTATCACCAGTCTCACTGTGAGCCCCAGGCTCCAACCAATTGTCTGCTTGAACTCTCCCCTTAGACATCCCTTTGGCATCTCAAACTTAACTTCTCCAAATGGAAGCCTAGTATCTTCCTCTGTTCTTCCATAAACAACTTCTCCCTGTTTCTCCATATTAACAAATAGCTCCATGACCCACTGCATTGTCACCTTTAATCCCCCCTTTCCTCTGCTGTCCTCACGGATCCAATCCACCACCTGACCCAAGGCACCCCACCAGGGTCTCTGCCTTCTTCTGTTAATTCTTCATACTGTAATCAGAGTGACCCTGACAATCTCATTCATGGAGCTGATGGGCATTCATTGTATTTGGAAGAAAATCTAAGTTCCTTGGTATGGCCTTCAATACTTGGGAGGATCAGGCAGCAGCCACCTTGTTCACCAGTTTATGGCTCCTCTGCCATCACCTATCTGCTTCCACAGTGGCTTCCTATCACGCCTGGGACACACCCACTGCCTCCTCCTTGGGCCCTTGCCATTGGTCCGTCTCAGTGCCAGTCAAAAGGTGATGGTGTCTGATTGCCTATGGATGAGAAAGGGCCGGGGATGGCCACACAACTGTTTTCTCCTTGAAATTGGTATTTACAGTATAGCTCCATTAGTTGGTTCCTAACATTGTGAATTCCCAGGTTTTATGCTTATGGAATCTTTTCTATGTGTATGCATTTTTAGAATGTATAGACTAAAAATGTAAAAGTGCTGATTAATTGCTGTCCAAAAAGTCATATAAAACTAGCTAAATAATTTTTGTTATCAAAACAGCAAATATTTCTAGAACTTCTTGATTAACATTTTCCTGGGGGACAATTATTCTCTAATAGTTATAGAATGAATCTAAAATATCAATGAACAATCAGCCAGCTTTAGCACCAAGGCCTTTTTCTTATTTCTCTTCATTACATTTTTCATCAAATATTTACTTATTATATTAAGTACCATCTACTTTCAAGGTCCTAATTTACTTCTGTGTATCACTTATTACTTCAAGTAAGAGCTTGGACTTGACTGCAGTTTTTGATATTATTTTAACTTGGGGTCCCTGCTACAAAATTAAAATAGAAAAAGTAATATCTAATTACATTATAATTTACAGATATATCTATTTATATCTATATAAGCAAAAACGAATAGAACTGAAAACAATGATCAGGATGAAGTGAATACAACAGGCTTCTGATTCTTCCCTGAAACAGTGATTCCTTGGATTTTCAATTTTCTATCTACTAAACATGCCTCATTTTAAAAGCTGATTTCTGTAGTGAGATGGTAATTATTTGTTCCTTGCATTCAAGAGATGTTAGTAACACTGGGAGCACAGCACCAATGTGTGTGCAATCATTTAGTCCTATCTTCAAAGTGGCCTGGGCCTGGCCCAGAGCAGACTTACTATTGTGCGCAGTCGATCAGCTGGTATTCATTTGACCTCTCAAAGCATGCTTTCACACCTTCATCATCCCAAAGTTTCTTCACATGATCAAAGAATTCCTAAAATTTGAAAATGTTATTAATAAGAGAATGCAGGTGTTATAATCCTTCAAAAAGTTAAAAATAAAAAGAAACTGCCCTCCAAAGTTTACAGGTAGCGCATGAATTATTTTTTTTGTGGAAATCTACTTTGCATATGGTAAAATACAGATTTCGCATTCTGTGTAATGGAAAATGGATGTATATGTGTTATCATTGTGCAAATTAACCTGTCAATCATCTTTATCATTTCAGAAATTTCCCCAAAATGAGACTGCAAGACAGAAGTTAATGACATTCATTAACTAGAAGCACAACTAAATAACAATTTTAAAGTTTTTAGTATTCAATAATTTTAACTAGTGGAACTGCCACTTCAGCAATGAAAAAAATGCCTATTTTAATGGTAAGTTCTGTTTTAGCTGCTTTAAATTTTCTATGTGAGCCATGACTATGAATAGACATAGTTGAGCAGGTAGGTTACAACTGGCCCAGAAGCATTAGGCACTTAAGAATGAGACCTTTAAAGTCACATCCTTTATGGACAGTAATTTATTGTTTTTTGGCATTAAAGAAAAAAACAACCACCATGAGTTAAGTGTGAACTGTGATTGTTGGTTCACTCAAATCTGCACGAGCACAGTGCTTAGTTTCATCCATTATAATGAGGAGCATACTTGAAGCAAAAACTTTCCTTATTGAAAAGTAAAAGGTGGCTTTAGGAATTCATATTGCCAAAATTACCCAAACTAACTTAATACTGTTATGAAAACAAATTCCTACATGTTAGTTAATTGTTCATAAGTAGAAATTTTCATAAAACACTTTGTTACAGTATTTACAACTCTTTCCACATCAGTCATTTGTCCCTCATGGCAACCCCAGAAGCACCCATTCCATCTTTGCACGGAAGTGTCTGGAGTTACCCGACCAGAAAGCAGCTGCGGTCTTCTTTTTTTTGTATATTTTATTGATTATGTTATTACAGTTGTACCATTTTTTTCTCCCCTTTATCATCCTCTACCCTGCAACCCCCTTCCACCAACGTTGCTCACCCCCCTTAGTTCACATCCACGGGTTATACATATAAATTCTTCGGCTTCTCCATTTTCTTTCTTTTTTTTTTTAAGATTTTATTTATTTATTTTTAGAGAGGGAAGGGAGGGAGATAGAGAGATGATAGAGAGATAGATAGATAGAGAGAGAGAGAGAGAGAGAGAGAGAGAGAAACATCAATGTGCGGTTGCTGGGGGTTATGTCCTGCAACCCAGGCATGTACCCTGACTGGGAATCGAACCTGAAACACTTTGGTTCCCAGCCCGCGCTCAATCCACTGAGCTACGCCAGCCAGGGCTTCCATTTTCTATACTATTCTTAACCTCTCCCTGTCTGTTTTCTACCTACCATTTATGTTTCTAATTCCCTGTACCTTTTCCCCCATTGTCCCTCATCCCCACTGATAACTCTCCATGTGATCTCCATTTCTGTGATTCTGTTCCTGTTCTAGTTGTTTGCTTAGTTATTTTTTTTTAGGTTCAGTTGTTGATAGTCGTAAGTTTGTTGTCGTTTTACTGTTCATATTTTTTTTCTTTTTTTCTTAGGTAAGTCCCTTTAACATTTCATATAAGGGCTTGGTGATGATGAACTCCTTTAACCTGACCTTATCTGGGAAGCACTTGATCTGCCCTTCCATTCTAAATGATAGCTTTGCTGGATAGAGTAATCTTGGATGGAAGTCCTTGCCTTTCATAACTTGGAATACTTCTTTCCAGCCCCTTCTTGCCTGAAAGGTTTCTTTTGAGAAATCTGGTGACAGTCTGAGGGGAACTCCTTTGTATGTAACTGTCTCCTTTTCTCTTGCTGCTTTTAAGATTCTCTCATCTTTAATCTTGGGTAATATAATTATGATGTGTCTTGGTGTTTTCCTCCTTAGGTCCAATTTTTTTGGGACTCTCTGAGCTTCCTGGATTTCCTAGAAGTCTATTTCCTTTATTAGACTGGGGAAGTTTTCATTCATTTGTTTTTTCAAATAAGTTTTCAATTTCTTGCTCTTCCTCTTCTCCTCCTGACACACCTATGATTTGGATGTTGGAAGGTTTAAAGTTGTTCCAGAGGTTCCTAAGCCTCTCCTCATTTTTTAAAAATTCTTGTTTCTTCATTCTGTTCTGGTTGAATGTTTCTTTCTTCCTTCTGCTCCAAACTGTTGATTTGAGTTCTGGTTTTCTTCCCTTCACTGTTGGTTCCATGTATATCTTTCTTTATTTCACGTTGCATAGCTTTCACTTTTTCCTCTATTTTGTGACTATACTCAATCATTTCTGTGAGCATCCTGATCACCAGTGCTTTAAACTCTGCATCTGATAGGTTGGCTATCTCCTTACCGCTTAGTTCTTTTTCTGGAGTTTTGATCTGTTCTTTCATTTGGACCACATTTCTTTGTCTTGGCACACCTGTGACATTGTAAGGGGTGGAGGCTTAGATATTTGCCAGGCCTAGGCAACCCACCTTGCTGCGTTGTGGGACTGTATGTGGGGGAGAGGTCCAAGAGGGAATAATGCCACTTGCTGTGCTCTCAGCCTGCTTTCAGTCACTTCCCCACTACCCCACAAGTAAATCTGGCCCTTTTGTTGCTGGTTTCCAGATGTGTGGGTTTGTGTATGTTCTAGGACCCCATGGGTCTTTCCAACGAACTCGCCTGTAAGGCTAGGAGTTTCTCCCACTGCTGCAACTCCCATAGGTTTTACAGTCAGAAGTTTTGAGGCTTTACTTTCCTGGTGCTGGAACCCTGGGTTGCGAGGTCTGTCTCACTCCCCAGTTGTTCCTCCCAGCTTATCCTCACATGAACGTGGGACCACCTGGTCTGCTAGCCACCGCCTTGACAGTGCATCCAGCAGCTGAGTTGTTTATGTTCCTCACAGCTGCCATGATTCCTAAGAGTCAGCATAGAGTCTTTGGAGGAAAAAAATTAAGAGTTGCTATTTTTCTTAGAGATTTACAATTCCATACAAAGGTGTATCCGAGTATTGTGGGGCCTGATGATTATCCAGTTTGGAGCACTCTTTGTAAAATTAAAAAAAAAATTAAGAATACAAATTAGGTATAACATCTTTGAAGGGGGAGTAGGAGTGAGGGGCTCCAAGTTTAAGCTTTATTATGTTCTAGTATGTCTAATTCTGACTTCCCAGAATTAGGAACAGCCTTTAAAATTATGCCATATGCCTCTGTATCTGTTGTCTGTCAGTCTGTCTGTTACTATTATCAACAAATCCAAACTGTCCACAGTTAACAATGAATGGACAATGTCCACAGGAAGGAGAGTAGCTGAACCCCTCAGTTTTTACTGTCTCCCTAGATTTTTATTTCCTTTTGGAATCTCCCACTGCTACCTCATCAGTCTACTGGAATTTGTAGGCTTCCTGAAAAAATATTTCCTTCTAAGAGCCATGTGAAAACACATGCATGCACCGCATTGCAAGAGAATACTCCGTTCTGTTACTCTTGAGATGGTCCTGGCAGAGAGTGATAACCCCTGAGTTATGGCGGTATTTGGAATTGAGCCCCATTTTTCTCCCCTACTGCAAAACTCCAGTGTAGTGGTCCCTTCAGTAAAATTCCTGACTGTCTTTAGTGTCAGAATTGTTTTTTCTTTAACAGTGTGAGCTAATGCCTTTGAGACAGAATTACAGATGAGTTCTTGGCCAAAATTCAAGACACATGGTTTCTGGGGTACATGTTGATAGGAATAGTAAGGCAGGAATTGTGGGCACTATGATTTTATTTTATTTTTAAAATATTTTACAATATGAGAGAGAAATATTGATCAGTTGGCTGCCTCTTGCACATGCCCCAATCTGTGGAACCCACAACCCCAGGCATATGCCCTGACAGGGAACTGAATCAGTGACCTCTGCAGGTTGATGCCCAACTGACTGGGCTACACCAGTTAGGGCTGGGCACTGTGGTTTTAAAACAGATGCTTTGGACAATGCCAAGGAAACACCAAAGCAACAACAATCTCTCTTTAACTTCTACATTGGTAAACAAAGATGTTGAAATAGAAGATAGCTAGGTCCCCAGGATTCTTAGTGTCTTTTTTTTAATGGGGTTTAAAGCTTCATCAAAAATTCCAGGGCTGCTGATACTATTGTTTCTTCAATATTTTATTAGGAAAATCTTACAAAAGTAGAGAGAATCACTCTACAGGCACTCATTTCTCAGCTTCTCTATTTATCAACACTCAGCCCATTTTTTTATCTGTATCTCATGCCCTTTTTTCCACCTTTATTATTTGGTAGCAAATCTCCTAGACAGCATTTGTTCTATTTCAACATTATTTTGAAAAAACAAAGGGTTTTGAAAATCATAGTCACCATGCCACTACCTCAGCTAAAAATACACAAACAAGTAAAGAAATAATTCTGTAAAATCATTAAGTCAGTGCAGCTTTTCAGCTATAATTAAAAACTTGCCCAGAGCCAGGCTAGAATTCTCATACATTTACCACAACAACTGGGAAATAAATGAGGAATAATTTTGGTATGCCTCAATTAGTAACTAAGATGAATAATACCAGAAAAGGTAATTTGTGTTGTATGTGCATATGTTTGGAAAAAAAAGTGGTTCACAGTGAAATGTGATCTATTTTTGACATCTGAGAGTATATAGAAATTGAGAACATAAAAGGAAATTACTAAGTGACATTACTTAATTTTTTCTGTATTATTGAATATGAGACTCATCTTGGGTTATTCATATATTTATCAAATAAAATGCATGCACATTTGTGTTACTTTTACTCAAAAGAGTTCAAATTGTGTTAGAGAAAATATAATGATATCAAATCTAAACCTACTTTTTAAAAAGCAAGGATTTAAATTTTACAGCATAATTTGGATTTTTAAGTAAAAAAAAATTAAAAACACATATGCTGTCTATATCTCCTTTATATATAAAGCATATCCAAAACTAACTTGGAATTTGCAGGTTACAAATGCCTGGCATTGTCTTGGAATTTGAGAAAC